GCGGCGGTGGCGGCGGCGGCGCGGAGCAGGGCCAGGCTCTGTTCAATGGCGACATGGAGCCCGAGGCCGGCGCTGGCGCCGCGGCCTCTTCAGCTGCGGACCCGGCCATTCCTGAAGAGGTGAGTGGCGGCGCCATCCCCCAGTGCTCGCGCGTCGGGGGCTCGGCGGGCCAGTGTTTATGTGAGGGACCGAGGCAGCGGAGGGAGCCCCGGCAGTGCTTGGCAGCCGGCGGGGAGGTGATTATCGGCCGAGTGTCCCCCTCTGTCTTGTGGCTTCTCGCTACGTAAACATACACGATGGCCCAGGGGGGTTCCCCGGCCCCCACCCAGATGGGGTTGGAGCAGCGGGGGCAGAGCTGGAGCCTTTCCGTAGGGGGCGAAACTCTGGGTTGGTGGAGAAGGTCACGCCTGGCTGAGGCTTCCAGCCCTGCATCCCTGAGATGTTTTCCTTTTTGCTAGCCGGCAGGGACGGCGTCGAGGATGGAGCTTAGTGGCCAGGGCAGTACCCCTCGATCCCCTTAGCCCTAGTAACCGCCGTGTGTGATTACTCCCTGCTCGTAGGGATGACGGAGCGCATCTCTCTCCACTCTCCTCACTATCTTCCCATTGTAGGCCCTTGTCCCCTTCCCACTTTGCTACTTGTTTGGGGGGGGGGGGGTTTTTCTTTTGACCGGTTTTGCCCAGGGGATGATTTTGGCGTAGTCTTTACTTTTTTAACCCCCCCAAATGTACTATTCCGAAGCTTTTCCCATCCTGGTCTCCGATCCCCGAATAATAATGTTTGTCAGTGCTTCCTTGTTGACCCGTAACCTCTATCCTCATCCACCACCCCGCTCATTTCCCAACTGTACCGACTGGCTCCTAACCTTAGCTTCCACTAAAGAGCATTTCTGCACTTCTCTTGCCCTAGTCCTCTTGAGGGCCTCTGCTTCATTCCACTGCTCCCTTACCTCGTAATCAGTTGTCTTCATAAATCCTTTTGGACACTTTGGAAGCTACTCACTCCCTGAACCCCCAAGCTGTCAAGATTCCATCAGGTCTCACTTGGCCCTTTGCTCCCTGGCTGGCACTGCTGGCGATTTCGGTTAGTCTTTCAGTGAACATTCACGCCTCAATTGATATCCTTCGTGGGGTTTTTATTTTGAGTGGCTTTAATTGAGCTGCGTCGCTCCCATTTTCGTCCCATTTTTTTTTTTTTCCTCTTTCGTGTTTACCTGTCTTTAGTACTTGGCTTTTGTTAGCCTTTCCTTGCATCATTCAACTTACTACATTGTCAAATTACTTAATTTATTCTCTTTTCTCTGTATGTAAAACTTACTATGTTTACTACTTGGGCATTGTAGCACATGAACAATACCGTATTTTACAAACAATTGACTAGAGTGACTTAATTTTGTTGATTTTGCTTAAAGATAAACCTGCTGCTTAAGTTTCGCAGTTCTCACACTACCTCTTGTCTCTGCAATGTTCTTTTTCCTGCTTCATTATATTTACTTGGGAAATTCATCCACGACTCTCGATATCTCATTAGCAGTTTGTTCACAGTAATGTTCGTTTTCTACCTTTGGATGCCATCTATACCCAGAATGTGTTCAGTAGCATCATTTGAGCTGCCCCGGATTTTTCACATTTTTTTTTATTTCTTATTTCTTTTCATTTGAATCCATGCTCAGGTCAGTTTCCACTTGCATTTCTTTATCCGGCCCCCTCCCCCCACCCCAGCTTCTTTGATTCTAAGGATAAGGCTCTTCCCTTCATCCGTTTCCTAGTTCAGTCTGTTTCCCTTATCCCTCCTTACCATTCATTCTGTCTTGTTTCCTGGCTTTTGGTACTTCACTTGCTGAAGCTTCCTCTTGTCTTCCCCACACCTCCACATTCCTTCTTATTTATAAACAACTTTGTTCCGTTGACATGGAAATTTATTTTTAGGATACATTGTTTTTAATGGAGAAATGCTAGGGGTCACATCTGCTGTCTATTTTCTCCAGGAATCGGATATGCCTTTGTCTTACTAGACACAGGTGTCTCGGTCTTTACTCTGCAGTGCGTTGTCTTGAACTGTCTAGATGTGTGAGGACTAGCATCGAAGTATGCGCAAGTTAATGGATGGAATTATACAACGGTAATTCTCAGATATGACACTGACTTGTTAGGACAGTTTGCATTTCTGTTTGGAAGAGTTTGTTATTTACTTGGGAGCTAGAGCATTTGGATCTCTTACCTTCTCTCCCCCACCCCCATTCTCTTCTTTCTGAAGTAGTATTAGGGCTCTAACTTTCTGTTTTGACACTTTCTAGGCAATGCTTGAGAATCTCGAGGCTAGATGAAGTTAAATTAAATCACCAATAACTGAAGGCGTATTTGTATATCCTGAAACTGTATTCTTAATTTATTTAGTTAAAAGCAGATGTTTCCCATTGCCCCTTCCCAGGGTTTAATATTTGGTGATGATCAAAAGAAAAAAGATGACAAATATACATAACAAAATAAATCCTTCCAGGAAGCAGTATCATGAAGCCCAGGATTGTCAGAAACTTAGTATGTGACTGAGGCTGTAGTTAAAAGTCCTGCTCCTTCTGCCACTACTTCCTAAGTGCTGGCCTTACTGACATGTGCCCTATAACCAAGTTTAAAGTTAATGTCAATTCAGAGGAAACCGAAGTATCCTGTGGTCTTCTAATGAACTGTCTTTTTATATGAACTTAAAGGAATATCTTAATTAATTATTAAGTAGATGGAAAGATAAAAAATTGTGGATGTGTATAATGACATTTTATTATAAATTTTATTCTTACCTAAGTTTTAAAAAGTTTGTCAAAGAGAAATTTCAGCTGCACCAAAAACTAATTACAAAAGGAAAACATATCCATTACTGAAAAATTAGAGGAAAAAAGTACAAAAAGTGCCTACAATGTTTAATTGCTATAAATATTTGCATGTATTACAGCTAGTCTTTTTAAATGCTTGTGCAATATTTTACATATAGATTTGTGACCTTTGAAATGATAGTACAACAAAATTTATGTGTCCCTAGAAAAAGTATGATTTAACTGATAAGTTTTTTGGACATTAGGTTATTATTTTTTTAATTGCTGTTATCAAGCATCTTCAATGTAGAATGTAGACATTTGTATGTAAAATTATATTAGAGAATGAACAGATTTCGTGGTCCATTTTTATATTATTGTATAGGTTCCAAAAATAAAATATTCTGATAAATAACAAGAATTTACTAAATGTTTATATCTTATAATCTTGCTATTAAGCATTTAATTCTATTTATATTTCCTTGATGGTACTTTTTTTTGTGACCTTATGGTATGACATGGTACATGGTATATTGTCAGATGGTTAATAATAAATACATGTATTATTTAAAATGTGTGATACTGGGGTGTGATATTTATTACCTGTTCCTTTCATGATGTGTTTTTAGAGAAGAGAGTTTCTTAAAACTGTAATGCAATTAGAATTGTATTATTTTCTGCTTTCAAGATCTCTTAGCCAGTCTTGACTAAGCTGTATAATTATAATAATGCACTGGCTAGGGAATATTCTAGGATGGGATCTACTTTATAATGAAGCCCACTGTAATAAAATACATCTTTGTGAACCCTGCCAGGTTAGGTTGTATCATACCTCTGAAAAGTGGTATTCTCACTAAGGTAGGAAGGTGTGTGTGTGTGTGCAGTAAGTTTTAGCTGATGCTATGAATACTTGCCTGGGTATATGCAAAGATTTCCTTTGGAGGGGGAAATTATAAAGTGGCTGTCTTCAATATGTCTGTGTTCCTCCCTTTCTGAACCTATTTCTTTTTCCTGACTTAACACCTTCCTTTAGGCATCCATTCACCCTTTTATTTGAAAAAAAAAAATTGTATCAGTTGTTTATATATGCTGGCAATCTATTGTAAGTAGACCAAAAGGAATGTTGGACTGGATAGTTGAATTATGGAATGTCTTAAATGTAATTGAAGATTTGATTTAATTGTGTTTGGAGGCCAGAAAAATTACAGTAGTTCAGCAGACTAGAGCAATCAGACTTTGCTTGTTTTTCTTTCCCCCATTTTACTGATCAGGACGAATAGTCTAATGGCAGCTGAAAAGCCATGTTCTGGAGTGACAAAGAAGAAAGTCCGTGTTGTTTTCACAGTGCTTTGGTGTTTTCTAAGGCTTGTTACCTACCAAGTCACACAATGGAGCGTGGGCTCATTCCTCTTTCCCCTTTATCTCCAATCATAAACTTGCTTTCTCCCTTAGAGCTGCAGAGATGCGTTTTGTTTCGTTGACAACTTAATATTGATTTAAATGAGTACTTTGTGAACTTCTAGTCATCATCCCCTTCGTCTTAGAAATCTTGTTTGCTCCTATTCCTGGATTCCTGTGTCAAATTCCTATTAGGATAAGCCTTTTTGTCAGCAGCTCTTGCTAGATTTTGTCTTCCTCAGAAGTTAAATCGTTTGCAGCCCCTTATTCTTCCCTCTTGCCTAGCCCAATTATAAATAGTTATAGAACTTCTGAATTCAGAAGAAGTGGGCCTGTTGGGGAGCTTTTCTCGTTTTTGAGGTCATGCTGCGCTTTCTTTGCCATGGTGCTAGAGATAACTTCATGTTAATATAACAAAGCATGCATCCTCATTGGCTCACACAGTCTTTCTTTAAACAGTCTGTGGACGAGTTGACTCTAAAAGGCAGATTTTTTGGTTTTGGTTTTTTTTTTTCAGTCTTGACTAACCAATTTGCTAGCATACTTAATGAGCCATGGTAGTCTTGAGCAACTTAACACAGTCTATATACCTAACTTGAGGCAGTTGTTTCTCCCTCTATTGTTATTTTGCTTTCTGTGTTTTCTCTTGATATTTATTTATTTATTTATTTATTTATTTATTTGAGACAGAGGTTCTCTGTGTAATTCTGGCTATCCTGGAACTTGCTCTGTAGACCAGGCTGGCCTTAAACTCAGAGATCCTCCTGCCTCTGCCTCCCAAGTGGTAGGATTAAAGATGTGCATTACCACCACCTTGCTCTCTCTTGATTTTTAGTTAGTAAATAAATAAATAAATAAATAATTGGTGTTACTTCCAATATCAAGACTATTGACTGTGTATCTAATATCAAGAAA